GTGTTTGGCGGGTAATGCAGGTGCATTACCATTTAACAATTCGCCACACATGTTCCAGTCCGTCAACTTAGTGGGCCAGGGCTTTGTGCTGGTCGAACCTCTAATTATTGACCAACTTAGTATGAGGCTCTGCGAGTTCCGCCAGGAACCCCCCTTATTTAACCCAGTGGGGCACAGGGGCACACAATCTGTCCAGTCTCTTCGGGAGGAGTGTCTAATTACCATGCAGCCCGAAAGAAACGCGAGGGCTGGTATACCGCCAGGTTGCTGGGGCATTTTTTTCAAAGGCCGACAGTTCGGCGAAGAGCAGTTGAATTGTTCAGGGTACTCACGGTCACCATAGGTATAAACACCTTGGATTGTGGTAGAATATCCTTAGCCCCCCGTGCGCCATCTTTTTCTTGCCATTTTAAATCTTCAATCAAAAAAGCTTACATGCCTGTGCGGCAGTGAAGCACCAGTGTTCACATCTGGTGTCAATGATGTTTCAGGTTTTCTACGCAGCTACCCAAACTTTCTTTGCAGGACATCAGATAGCCCTAATGGTCCTGAGCGGTTTCACTGACAAGAAGTTTACGAGGACGTATCAAATGAATCAAGTGGGACTCCCTGCGAATATTTGCTGCGTTTTGCTACTGTTTTTTGGTTTTCTGGAGGTGCCAAGCTCTCAGGGCTGCTTTTGCCAACCTCCGACACCTATGGCGCCAGCGTGACGTCAGTCTGTTTGTCAATGACAGAGGTATAGGCTCTACGCACAACGGATATGTGGAAGATATCAGTGTTTGACCATCCTTGTATCCGAAGCTTTGGTCAAGCCTGGTGGGGACATCAGATTAGTAATATCGAAGTATGTTAAATGGTCTTAGGAAGAATTAACTTTCCCGCGATAGATGAATTACTCACGCTTCGTAGGTTACTCTGGTTATGACATTCACTCCGCATTGCGGAAGACCATGTGCCTCGCAGAGCTCTTTTCGCCCAGTCCTGTGCTTAGTGGAAACGACCGAGACGTGGACAGTGTATAATCTGAAAACAAAGTATGAAAACACTAACAAGTAAACTTGGATAGACAGCAGCTACCTCGCCGGATGGCAGAAATGTCTCAATCGCGCAATTAGTGGCGCTCGTGCATCAAAGCTATCACCTTCACTGCGTAGCCACTCAGCTCCCGAAGTAATTAAACACACCATCGCCGTCTTTTGATTGATGGATGTCCGTGTAGCCTTAGTTCTTGATCCCTCCGCCGCGAACCCTGTTCATTTGCCTTCACAATGAGTCCCGTTTCCTGGTTCAATCAAAACACAAGTCAACCAGTAGAAATGTTTGCCCAAATGGCCAATGCTCGACCAAGGTTGACCTGGGTGAGTAGACCGTGTATGTACGCGCAACAACCACGCACTTCCAACCTAAGTGCATTTCTGCTCAGAACGCAATGATGTCATCACGACTGTTGGTAAAGCGTTCGCAATCAGACTGTAAACTTCGGTGAACAAACCAGCGACCAGGCTAGCTGGTGGCACTCACTATCGGTAGTGTTCCGAAAGATGGGCAGATCGCGTGCGCTGTTTGGCTGTTTGGCTCGGCAGCAGCTATTGTAGCATCCCCCTCGACACTTGCGTTTATATGTCTTCATAAGTAACTAATACCTGCATTCTGAAAATTATATTACCGAATTACTAACCTTATCCATATGCAATTTCCACTTTTCGAGTTTGATGAAGTTTAGCTTTGCGTTCATCTGTTTTAACATAGTCTGGTCTCATCAACCCCTGATCCAGTTTTCAGGTAGATCAACTCTACAGGACCGCTGGTAACAGATTTTATTCGTTCAGATCACTTGAATTAAATTTTGTCAATTATTTTACACCTAACTTCTGGGAATACAGGCCGTAACTCCAAATCAACAGTTAGACAAACCACCCATTGTTCCCAAAGTATAGCTTTGATCAAACCTATACTAATTAGGGTGGTGAAAGTGCCTCAACTTGTCCATAATCTCATGTTTTCGGGCCACGTATCCATGAGCAGCGTGGTTACGTTTCTTAGCAAGCGCTACAAGTCTCGAACTTCAGCGACGGTAAAACTTTTCAAATAGAAAAATTCGTTGGCCATATTTTAACCCGAACCTCTCTCCTCCCTACCTGCATTGTGCTCTCACACAGGTGATAATCGAGAAATCCCCACGGGCTCGTGTGGCCGATCTGGACAAAAACAAATACCTTGTCCCGTCTGACCTCACGGTTGGGCAGTTTTACTTTCTGATTCGCAAACGAGTCTCCCTCGAGCCTGACGCCGCGCTCTATTTCTTCGTAGACAACACCATTCCACCAACCAGTGCCACAATGGGTGCACTATACGAGGTAAGTCACGATTACGCAGGTAGCTGAGCTCATTAAGGGGCTTTGATTGTTCTTTGGTTGAGTGAAGTAAATCGTCACATTTGATAAAGGCTGGTTGAGAAGTCGAACTTCTTCTTTGTAGTCGAGTTCCCGATAAAAATAGTCCGAAATCAATCGTTTACACGAGATACCAAGAAGCTGGAGTGACGATTCGCCCCATCGTCTGGCGAACGAACGCGTATTATAATCACCCGTGCCGGACACAAATGGCAACTCAATAGCGTTTTCAGTGTCCGGTGACGTAGATGGACTGAGGGTCAAGCTGACCGAATTCCCAGCTGATCCTCCACCAACAGCAGCGCCAGTTCAGATACGGGCCTGGGCTGCAACTAGCGAGATGTCTCCAAGCCATTATCTTGCTGGATGTTCACCCCCAAGCTTGAAACACTGCGGCAATCTTGTCCGATTACTTCATTGGATAGCTTGTCTTGCTTTACGACCACCGAACGTACTGAGGCGTTTAAAGATAGCTTAACTAATTTACCCAATGGATGCAATATTGACCCCACAAAAAATGAAAAAAAGCTTTTTCAAGCTAGCTATTCAACGCAGTTTACTTGCCTCCTGTTCCATCTAACACATCTCGGCGAAACCGGAGTTCAGTGTTTCTTGAGAGTTAACATTCCTCACGTGATAACGCTTGGTCAGAAATAGACGAGTTCAAACGTCGCATCCCATGTGGTGTTTTTGATTATCCTTCTCCAATAGACAACTTTCTGTTCAACTGGTGAGCTGGGCACGACCTAAAATTCAAAGTCAAATAGGTTTCTCTCGACAAAATCACGGAATGGGACGAGCACACGTAGCTGGCCGAGTTTTTATCGGGTCGTGACAACTCAGTTGCTTCGTCTACCTTGCCAGAGGTGCTTTTTCTTGTGCGGTAACCGCAGGTGCCTTTATACCGTTTGAGCGGGAACAATGATCGTATGGATATGCAGGTATAAGTCCACCTCAAACGTACTTTAATCAACTTAACGCAGATTTTTTACTGTCGTTTATTTTGGAGATTCCCCGGGATTCGGAACCACTAACTTTACAAACCATAATGCACTTGATTGGCCAATCGGAGCACTGCCTGTTCGTTTGCTACACAAGACGATTGCAAGTCGGTTCGGTTTGCATCAGTACTTGCTTTAGACCAGCGTGCATTACCCCAGTCGGCTCTAACCACACGTATTAATCATCTGCCACTTTCGCCCACATACCGTCGAAGCGTATCAGTCCGACCAAACTCAGCCAGCAACTTGCGACAGCACCGCCCCAATCGCTGTAGACGAACCCGAGTATGCCAGTTCTACTCAAAACCCGATTAGAAATTGACTTGTGTCTCCCGGATCTTTTAATGTGTTGAGTAGGGTATGCGAGAACATGTAGCCCAATAGATACATAAGGCTGTTACGGTCTGTAACACCCTTTCGGTGCCTAGCTGCACCCGATGGAAGCACGAGGGCTGGGAGCCTGCCAGGTTGCCTAAACCTAGACAGGGTCGGGTTCGAACCACGGACCTTCCGGTCAGTAAATTCGCGCTCTAACCACTTGGGCCATCTCGGTGTTGCGGTACCATCGAACTAGTGTGCATCCGCTCCATCGTTAGGGCACATTTGCCTCAACTGGTAATTAGAAGCAGATTGATTTTTCCGTCCAAAGTCGGGGCACCCGAATAGCTTATCACGATGACAAGACGGTGATATTTTCCAAACCTTTTGTTCAAGATTGACATTAGCAGTCTGGAAAGAGAAACAGCTCTCGGGCACCGTTGAATGTGTCATAGCTTGCATAGATGCGGCAAAACAGAACGGGGTTGTTTTTGAAGACTCTTTTCAAGGTTTGTAGGGGTGAATTCGTCTTTTTTTATTGGTCTGAAGGCAAGCTCGAAAAAATCCATAGTAAACTTAATGAATAACAGCAAGATTTCGTCTAGAAAGTCATGATGTCTCAAATCCCCTTGACTACTTTTCTGTAAAAAATCAGTGACTTGATCGATTCCCTCAATTTACGACCAACCAGCTAGTTTAATCTCCGAAAAACTGTCGTGTTTAGACCGCCTTGCTGCGGATCATCAGTCAGTCTGCATGTTTCCCGAAAATGTTCCGATATTCATATCCGACTAAAATGGCTCAGTGGTTAGAGCGCAAACTCACTGACCCGAAGGTTCGTGTCGAGTTCGAACCCGACCTCTGCCTCTCGACTTCCCCTCTCTAGGCTTGGGCAACCTGGCAGTATCCCACCCTCGTGATTCCTTCTGGCAGTTGGGCACCGAAAGGGTGCCACGACTGAAAGAACGAACAGTCGTGTGAATCCCGTTGGAGATGTTTGCGTCTATAAATTTGCCGGTGTTTACCGTGTTCGGTTGTGTAGTTCCTGAAACGGCGACTGAAAGCAGACATACGTAAAATGTTTTCGCTTGGCAGACTATTTACCGCACGCCACAGATTGCGGTGTTTATAACCTTGTTTTCCGTTTGTCTACTGCAGGAACACAAGGATTCTGACTACTTCCTCTATATTGCCTATAGTGATGAAAGCACTTATGGGTAGACGTGGCGTCGTGACTCCACCCATTGGTCCCCATTTCACTCCCATACACACACACACACACACATAACTGACACAGAATTGACACATTTCTACAGCCTTTTGCTGTTTATCTGTGTTAGACCAAATGCTTGTTGTAAACTGATGCTTGACATCCGTTTTTACCCCCTCATCGTGATCCTCCTGTTGTGTCACTTATGTACTCATCACTATTTTTCTTTGGTTACACAATCAGTCATTTTGTCTTTCCTCATTGGTCACGACTATTTCTTATCATGCGTTCCTCTTATCCTGGCTACCAATCCCTTCCTGCAGCACAACAGCTATAACATTTTGACTACTTGTCTTTTTTTTGAGGAGGGGGGGTTGTGTGACCTCATGGCCTTGTGATTCAACGGGCGTAGTCAATGACGCGGCTTTTGTGGGCTTTCCGTACTTGTCATACGCATCACCTCTTTTTAGTGCTGTCTTGAACAGCGTGTTGTGGTGATTGCTCTTCGATTGTCTATTTGTCTGCGTGCGTGCGCAGTTGCGTACGCACGCAACTCGCCTTCTTGTCATTGTCCTACCCCTGGATTTTCCACCTTTGTCACAATGGTTCGAACTCATTTTTTGTGTGCTTTACTATTGATCCTGTTTTTCTTCTCGGAAATATACTCAATTAAATGACATATTCACTTCCAAATTAGTGTGAACATTGTTCTTCTATGACGCCGCCTTGTTCTCTTGCATTCCGCTTGCTTGTTTGGTCTTCGTGCTTTGGTCTAATCGAGTCACATGTAGGTCGGATGGTTCTCGCATTCCAATCTCGGCGGCTCACCTCTGGAATGTACTAGCATTAGAAAATCAGGCTATTCTTGGGCTGGATTGTCCTTTGGGAGAACCAATTACAATGAACTGTTCAGGAGAGTGTACACCATTCCAAAGGATTTGTTTTGAGGAGTTCTTGTAGAAAGTAGTTTGTATCTTCGACCTTTTGCCACGGGAATGAGTCGTGACCACTCGATCCGGTTGAGATTACAAAATCTAATCACTTGATAAACTTGATCGCTGAGCGTTGCTGGCAGTATTCTTCATCGGAGGTATGCTATTCGGTATGGTCCGTCGACCAGGGCCTTAGAAACTATTCAGTCTGACACTTGAACACAGATTTTATAATCCCTACTCGTGTTACCATCTGTCTCAGCTGAGAAAATTGTTTTAGTCGAGTGCTTAAAACTCGGGTTTTCCCCTCCGTTATCTTCATCATCGACGGGACATCATCAAACACATGCTTCGGTGCCGTGCTTTCCCTCTGACTGGAAGATAAAGGCCAGGTTAGGCCTCTGTGATGGTTTGGGTTGAGTCCTATCACAGAAATGCTCAAGCTGCGCTACATGAACCACATTTTTAGAGCTGCAGCGCATTGTTAAAGCCATATACAGGAGGGTGTGATCCCCGGTTGGCTACCTGATATCGCGTCATTGCAGGTTAGACCCAACCACCCAACAGAAATGACATGTTTCCCCTATCTGGTCAAGAATAGGTCGCTAGTTAACTTTTTGCAGCGTGTCCCAGTCAGTACTGCAGCTTAACGCTTTGTTTACGGTTCCTGATGTCCAACAGTAGCCCGAACCGTGTTGAGCATCCTTGCCTCACTGTGCTTTAGCAACAGCAATTTATTTAAACGAAACACCATAGAGAAAAGTAGAATAAAGTGGTTAAGGGAAGGGTCTTGAGCTAGCCTTTCATGAATATACGAGGTGCCAACACCTCCAACTAGGCGATCCCGATGGTAGCTGAGTCGAAGATCCCCACCTGCATCACTCCAGACACAAGGATGGCCACGTAAATTACATCCTGGATGGCGGACCGCACCGTTCGTGCCCTTCCAACCATGTTTGGATCGTTTCGAATTCGGTTTACGATGACTCGGTGTTCTTACCATATGACCGCGGCTTGTGGAGCTTGATAAACTCCTCGAATGATGTGCCCGACACCTCACAAGCCCCCGGGTCACCTCACTACGAACATTGAGTCATTAGTCAGTCAGTCTTCGGATTGGATTATGGGTCATGGTGCTGAGCTAGAAGCACTCGTATTCTCGGTTGGCCTCACTGGCAAACGTGATGAAATCTTCAGTATCCCTTTTGGTAATCTTGAGACACTAGTGACGAAAATGGCCCATCGAAAATTTGGGCCAGGATCTTGACGGTATCTGCGAAGCCAGTTTGACGAAGGTTTAGATGGTATGGGATTTGTGAACCCATCGTGTTCAACTGTCCCCAGTTCCAGCAGCAACAGTCAAACTTTCCATGCATCATCAAACCGAACAAAGTCGGTTTGAAACGTTTTCATATCTCTCTGGAACCAAATTTCGAAAGTTGGTCGAAATTAAAATAGTAATCGAGTGGGCAGCAGCATCTGTGGAAGAGTGTGGAAGCCCAACTGTTTTTGTCGTATTCGCCTCAGATATTCAGCCAGCCTCGTTTGAGCTTCTTCGATTTGCTAATGTTGCCGAAACTGACATATCCCTCGATAGTCATGTGCGAAATTGCATTCGTTCGACTTCCTAGTCCTGAAAAACCCACTACAGATTGAAGACAAAACTTTCCAAATGTTTGAATTTGTCGTAAAATCACCCTATCCCCGTTTCAGATTACTCCCAAAAAAAGTAGGTTATAATGTTGTTGGTTAAACACGGCAATCGTGCTCGAAACTTTTCTGACTTTTAAGCTTCATAACAATCGAATGCTTTCGTAGTGTCAGACATTCCGTAGTCAGACCGGTACGCCCACGTTCATGCACTCATAGTTATTGCGCACTCTGTTGTCGCACACTGCTCGTCTCCACTCACATCTTGTTGCAGAATGACCTCTTGAATGTTGAAACAACAATGTAAAAGCGTTTCTCTTGTGGACAGCGTACATTGCTGCGTAGGCTGGTGAAACTTTGATCGAGAATCAGGACATGCTCATGAATGTTCGAAAGAATTCTAGATGGCTGTGTTTGTTTGTTTGTTTCGTTGCTGTTTTTTGTCAGTCAATGGTCATATTTCGCTGCTTACTTCCTGGGTCACTGGGTTTTTCTATTCTAGCAAGAAATGTGTGAGATCAGAAAAGAGCCGTACACGCGACTGATTGTCTTGTCTTACAGTGTACGTGGACCAGGGAGCAATGTGTGAATTCCAGCTCGATGCATGTTTTGCATTCTATCCGCGAGTGCTTTAGTGAACCATAGAGACGGACGAAGATCTAAAATAAATAAATAATAATAATAATCGTTCAGCTGTAGCGCCCTTTCGGTGCCTAGCTGCCATGCCACACGAAGGAAGCACGAGGGCTGGGATACTGTCAGGTTGCCCGAGCCTAGACAGGGAAAGTCGAGAGGCAGAGGTCGAGTTCGAATCACGGACCTTCCGGTCAGTAAATTCGCGCTCTAACCACTTGAGCCATCTCGTCTAAAAAAGACGAAGATCTACTACTATGTGTTAGTAATTCCCCAGTAGAACTCCTCAAATCGAATTCAGGGTAGCCAGTGTAAGTTCCCTTCACTGCGTGGATCTACCTACTCAAACACTTCAGTCAGGCGAAAAAATGAGGGCTCTGTTTCGACTCAGTTCTGTTTCGTCACCTTGTCCTTTCCTGTCAGTTTTTATACGGTGGTTAAGCATTTTTTGCACTAAACTTGGTCTTAGATCGTTCAGCTGTAACACCTTTTCGATTCCCAGCTGTCATGCCATCCTAAAAAAGCGCAAGGGCCAAGGTACCGCTAGGTTGCTTAAACATAGACGGGTGCAGTTGAGATGTCGTTGGATCCGAACCGCGGACCTTCCGATCAGTTAGTTCGAGTCTTGACCACTGAGCTAGCTCATGCTCGGTCTCAGATACAGTTATGCCGTAGAAGTTTCAATCGAATAAAGGCTGCTCTGTCAGCAAAATAGTACTCCCAAATCAACTTTATGATCGTTGCCCATTCCACGGAGGGTAGCCCTGTACTAACTGACCATTACCACATACGCCACTCCCTGTGTCTCTCTGCAACAGCCCCTCTTTAATCTGGTCACGTGACTTTTCGCGGCATCCGCAGGTGTTAGGTTCTTCTCTCCATATTACAACCTTCTGTCTAATGCAACCGAATTAACTTGGCATTCTGGATACCATAATGGAGAGGGAATGTCAATCTACTACCCCTCTCCTCTTTTCTCTTCATATGTGGTCCTGAGTTTTGTAAAATTTGCATCCGCATCACAGTCGTCTCAAAAATCCTAACCCTTTCCGTCTGCACTAAGTCAGAGGAGCACTGGACTCGACTTTAGCTCTTATTAGAGCTCATCAGCAGCACACACTCAACTGCGCTGGGACTCGGACTCCACCAACGCATGCTGAATCTGAATGATCAAATCCGAACAGGCGACGCTAAAGCGATGTGACGGAACCTCCAAAGGCGAGCTAGTAACTGTCTTGATTGTATCGACCGATCCGCCTGTCAGAACTTCTCAGTCAATCTGCACCATAGATGCTTCTGAACAAACTCATGTGTGTATAATATGGGGATGCATTTTGATAATGGGACTAGGTTTGCTGTCCTGGTCCAATATTCAATGACCCAAGCATCGAATAACTGTCCCGAGTGCATTTTCTAACGGTTCTATACAGTCTACCTGGTTTCAGGTCTGGGGGTTACCGTGGCATTTTTTCAAATGATTGAATGGAGGCGAAGTGTCTGCAGAAAGTGATCGCGTTCCGTTAGAGAAGTCCAATTGGTCTGCAGAAATTTCTTGACGAGTGTACGCCAGAACAATCGATGGTTAGACCAGGCAGGCTCTCACGGTGACCCTGATTGATTTTCACTCCTGTTTTCATTAACGTCCTTTGATCCAGGGGGATTGTTTGGAGATGATTGGCATAGTTTCACTCAAATATCTGGAAGCTTACATGCACAGAGATACGTTCATCCTGGACTTTCATTGGGACGAATCAATACTATCAGGTGATAGGCGATTAGGAACGGTAGTCTGCTGGAATTTGTTGTGGGTAGACAAACGGTCTGACCACCAGACGACACGGACAAAATACGAGTGTTTATCTTTACTCCTAGCACAGACTGCTCGCCAAAAACACGCACGTTCCGGCTATTGCTACTGTATCCATAAGAACCGAGGTTGTGTTCGTATTGGGTCTGTTTGTCAATGGCCTGTCTGTCAACTTGGCAGAGATCGTTGAATATCTGAGAAAATTTGTGTTTTTCCATCCAAAGGTTCCACCGACCAACTACGTGCTTTCGCTACATGCCGTCGCCAACCCTAGTTATCCCGCATCTTATTCCCTTTGTGTTATCATCATCACCATCGACGGTGTTCAACACCGATGCTTCACCGCCGTACAACCATGATTTATTTGAAAGCCTTATTGTAAAGAAAAGAATAAAGGTGGACTGGGAAAGGACTTAGTGCTAGCTTAACACAATCATTCCGAGGTGCCTACACCTCCAGACATTCACTCAGGCAATCTGGATAGAAACTGACAACAAGAACGCCACTGACATCGGTTGGCAGCCATATCTTGTAGTGTCTCCAACCAGGCACAGTGAGGATCACGCGGTCCCCATCCTGGAAGGCGAGTAGCACCGACAGCACCCAAGCGTTTCGTTATCTCCTTCATACTCCTCCGCCAAGTCAAGGGTTGGCCACCTCTCTGAATTGGGCGTGGAAAACAGCTGTTCTGTTCAACAACTTACCGTTTTTTAGTCACTGACCTGTTCGTGCTGATTGGCGTGTCGATGATGTGTCGATGAGCATTTGGACATATCCAGATGATTCCTAGGTGCTGGCTACATCAATTTGATTGGATGATTTTGAGGGGCAATCTGGATACGCATGTGATCTGAGTTGGTGCAATCAGAAGGTCTGGTTAGAAAGTGCGCACTGGCTTAGGGTGGAATACCCTTGATACGCTCCAAGAACTGTTTTCCGGTATGATAAGGCCGCGGTAGGTGAGTTGGATCGGTGATATAAACGCTCAAAGCCGCATGAAACTGCAACTGACTACCATGTGTTTACCTGTGTTTGGCGGCCTTTGCGCATCCTTTGACGAATATGTGTATAAAATGTATCCACTACCCTAGGTTTCTCCCTGCGAGGAATTTCTGCAACGGAACGTCCGGAAAATCGTTTTGTTTTAGGTTCTGTACCCCCGTTTGAACCTTTTGTTAAATGTCACATTCAACACTCTACAGTCGCCATCGACAGTTCCTGATCACGACTATATCACTACTTTTTTCATTAGAAACTCGTTCCCCCTGGTATCGTTGGAGCCGTTTAAACCCGTTGTGATGTAACCACACCAGTCACTTGAATGTGCTCATTCCTCTTCAGTGTGCTTTCGAAAAATCGATCCGCGCCACTGCGCTGCGTTCACTGTGACCATCACATGACCAACAGCTGATTCCAGTCTAGCGCTGTGAATCGATCGCGCACGTGCCTAACGCTTTGTTTCGTGCATGTTAATGCACACACCATGTGCGTGCAGTTACCGCAGTCAGGTGCGGTCGACCGCGAATCCTGGTGGTTTTGCCCAGGCATTCCGCGGCTATCATTTATAATGGTGGAACCAAAGTTTGACTTGTTCCGATATCAGTAAAATTTGGATTGGCACACTAGGAGCACACTAAATTTAAGTATCTAAGTCGACAGAGACACCCATGAATCTCTGACAACTTTGAACTGTCAGGGGTTTCCAATCCGTTGACTGAATTCCATCGGACACCAGTTTACGTATGCATTCTCTGCGGCCAAATGAAGACCATCGAGGTGTTTAGACCCTACAAGAATGCCCGTCTCCAACGGTTCTCTCTGCGATGGCCACTTGGTCAGTTCCTTCAAACTCCTATCATGGTGTTTATTTATAAATTTTCCCCATTCTGATACCAACGATAGGTTAAGGTTGTCCCCAACTACCCGCCCCTCTTTTAAAATTGACGGATGGACGTAAATAAATTCCAATTGACAGACCATCACCGGCTTACAGCATCCATCGATCGGTCCGGCCAGAGGTTACTGTGGGGAAGTTTCATTATACTAATACAACTTACTGAAAAATAAATGAATTAGCGAAGACCAACTAATTGCACTGCAGCATACGCGCAGAGGTATCCGCACTTGTGCGAACTGGTCAGATTGAAGTCCTAATGACTTATCTTAACAATTTTATTTTACTTATGAAGCCTAGTAAACGACGTCGTCACGTCTTCATGCTTTATTAGATCGTCTTTGTTTTCCGTGGTTGCTTCTGTGATATCCATCATCCGTTAAACCAAGTGCATGCTTTGACAACAATGTTTGTTCTACAGACGTAATTCACTACTCAGAAGGCTCGAAAACTCTTCGACATCCCACGATCGATTTCGCTTATCATGTAGGCGCAGTCCCCGAGTTTCTGTCAACTTTATGTTCTACTTGAACCCAAATTGCACGAAGTTGGCGAAATACACTACTCTCATTTGCATATAAATTTGGTTTCGGCGAGAGACTTACCTGGAACCCAGCTGAATCTTTCCTTCATAAACGAGATCAGATCAAACGAAACGTCGATAGGTTATGGCGAGAAACTTTTGGTATAGTCAACCATATCAGAATGTTGCTCTGATTTGAGGATGGCTGGGGTTAGACAGCCTTGCAAGACAGACGATTCCCAGTAGACCAAGCTGGACACATTACCTGTGCAGTTTGTTCTGAAAACTTAGACCTGGTTTGTATCTGTAGGCTGCCATCGCTTCGGCCGTTCTAAGCAGCTTCATTCTTCCCTGGCCTTGTTAACATCTGCGTGGTTAAATTAGAGTATGTTTTCATGTCTTTATCGACAAAACACTAACTGTTCCACATTTCGAGATGAGGGCTGAGTCACACACACACACAGACTCAAACCCGGGCCATCCAAGATGTTATTCACTTGGCTACCGGGCGCCAGAACCAAAATGTTCAACCCTTGTTTCACCTCCGGTTTGTTCAGCGCTATCACGTTCATAGTATTTTACTGCCCGTCGCGAATAGACTGGACCTTACAGTGGCGTGACAGTTTGTCCGCTTCCGTGACCGGTTGAGCTAAATTGAGGGGCTTCCGTACGACACTCGCAAAGCCTCTCATACTAAGTCGGTCAATGAGCAGAAGTCTGACCAACACAGATCACTGGTCCTCCAGTTTAAGGGTTGGAACATGTTTGGCGAATGGTTCTTTAAAAATAGTAACGCATCTGTATATCCCGCCTAGCACCGGTGCGGTAAGGCTTTCGGGCCAAAACCTTTGGTCGAAGACCCTAACCGTCCTCCTGTCTAGGTGTGGGCCCCGTGGCAATATCTGAAGGACAAGCTTTACGACGCCTTGAATGCCCTGTTAATGTGTTTTAAAAGCTCAAATATCGTTGTGTTTGTCGGCGATCTGTATGCAGTCTTAGCGCATTTGAGACTCAATCGGGTGGTCCATATGAATTGAACTCGTTACGTACGAACAATGACGATGGTGCAACCATGCGAGGAAGGTCAAAGGGAAACAGCCATCTTAAGAGCGCCAAGATTCCGTGTTATAAGGCGATATGGAGGTAAAATCATACCTGTCCTCTGCGATAAGAATGCAAAGGCAGTCAGTTGGTCCCCAAAAGTGACCAGCATATCCATATTTATGCGAGCAGCGGTGGTGCTCCTCCCCCCAACCAAGAACGAGTTGGAAAAGGCTGGCCCTAAAAACGCCCAACGGTTGACAATGAACGTCGGCGAGTTATCTAATCCGGTCGAAAACGATTAAAAATGCCGAGTGTGATGCAGCTCTAAACGCATCTACTGTGCACGAAAGCATCAGGAGTGGGGCATTTATGTCTTGTTCCCTGCGTCCTCGGGTTTGGCTAACCCTATGAAGCCGGGTAAGACAAACTTGGGTTAGCGGCTCCGGGTAGGGTCCCCAAGAAAACGCTATTACCCTCGCGGGTGAGTCAGAGGCGAAGGGCAGGATCCCCATACAAAACCGTGCATCTTCGTGCTGCCCTGTGGGTCGGACTTTTGGGTCAACGGCTCAAGGTTGGATGCCTCTTCCTCGGCAACCGAGAAGTATCATTTGCCTGTACAGTTCTTTACTCTTTCGATGTTCTTCCCCAAAACCCAATAAGCAAACGTTGCCGGATCATTTGATTGTCTTGTGTCAAATGGGCCATTAACGATGAACAGAATACCACGAGGTCCTTTCTACCTAGGAGCTTTCAACCTTCGTACTGTATGCTTAACTGGCAAACAGCCTGTGCTTGCCATGACCTCTGAAATACGCGTACGAGACCCAAGCGTGGTCATACATCTTAAAGCGCCAAAGACAAACTCAGCTCTTTTACATTGTGCTCCCTGTGTGCCTGCGGATCCAGAAGCGATAGCCCGTCGAATGGATGGCGTGAGGGGTCACACTCAACTCCGGAGCTGAACTCACTTTACTGGGTTGGATTCCAGTGTGCAGTCGCCTTTTCGCCGTTCGGTAACCGAGCCCCATCAAGCTCAATGTTACTCGGCATAAAAGCCGGTACCTGTTTGTAGTGTTGCCCCAACGGCTTGCAGTTCTGACACTGAAAGTTGACCACGCTCATTCGTCCAGAAAGTAACGCTGATATTGTCATCCTTGCGGGCGATATGAATGCTCAAGTTGGTCATCCGAGCTCCTTGGAATCACATCTGGGCGGATTCGAGGCTGGCTGCACAAATAACAAGCAGCAACTCCTCCGGTCGTGTACTGATCACCAACTGTTTCAAGCCAGCACGAATTTTCAGCAAATTCCCGCACCGCCTTACTCGTCGGTCAAATCAGCTGTGGACCTATTGGACCACTTGGCTATCGGTCACCGGTGAATAGACTGTTGTTCCTTATGGGTCACAGAACTTGATTCCGATCAGACCTTAGGCGCGTCTGACAATTCGCTTTCTTTCAGGCCCTCCTAAGTCAGCAAGAAGCATTCCAATTCGACGTCTTCGGGAAACTGTAATGGGTCAGCAGTAAACTGTACTGGTAACGAACACGTGGATGACAAATGGCAAAATGTGAGAAAAAAGTGATGTTAGCGGCGTTCAAAGCTGTTTGTCCGACTTCTCCGATACAATCGAACGACCATGGTTATCGTCGAGATCGTCTGTCCTGATTGATGTCAGGAAATCCACACTAGCGGAGGTGCACACGAATCTCTCAAACGCCAAATGTTGAGTAGTCTAACGAAATAGACGGTGAGCGCCGTCGGACAGTGAAAGCTCCGGAAACAGCCGTGCCATATATCACTTAATGCGATTGATTGGTCAAAAGAAAGGAGTGGTGCGTGAAACGATAACTGAAAAGTACGACTCATTAATTGACTCGCATAAAACGATGACTGGACAGATGGGCTGACCACTTTGAGGAATTCCAACGCAGCTCCTGAAGACGAGCTAACGGAATTTAAACCATAATCGCCCCTCAGAGGTACAAAATGGGCGAGATTGCCCAAGTGGTTAGAGCGCGAATTTACTGACCGGAAGGTCCGTGGTTCGAACCCGACATCTGCCCATCTACCTCCCCTGTCTAGGCCCGGGCAACCTGGCAGTATCCCAGCCCTCGTGCTTCCTGTGGAGGTGGTATGGCAGTTGGACACCGGAAGAGTGCTACAGCTGAACGGTACAAAATATCCCTGCTGAAACGTGAGAAGTCACCGGGACCGGACGGTCTCCAAAGGAGCATATCTTAAGTTATACATCCCACAAAGTATATGCCGCGAAGGGAAGATGTTCGCAGAATGGGGCACATCGACAGTGATCCTTATCTTCAAAAGGGATACTGTGAAAATCATCGTGACCTCATTCACCCTCGATCTGTGTCCGTCAGACAATATGGCAGTATCTGTGGAATGAAGGTGAAGGTGTCCCCCATAAATTCCTCTCCCTTCTTTTAAAGCGCTGTGCGGCAACTCCCATGGGCGCGCCTTAAGGTTCATGCTCTCGTCTGATTTCACTACATCAAATGATGACATACAAGGTTGTCCTTTTCACCTTTACTTTCCAAATTCATCAATGAAATGATCATGAGAGATTCACTCCCAACCTCGAACACCTGTGGGGTCAAAGTACTTCCAGGGCATTCGCTCTCAGACATCGAGTACACAGATGACATTGCTCCTTCTTGGATCTGAAGCTATCGTGATGCAAACGATAGTATATAGTCTAAATAATTCCGCGTCACGGTTTGGCATGTGCTTCACACGTGCAAGGTGTAGAAGGATGCTGCAAAACGGGATGGGCTCGGACCATAGCCTCATGTTTGCGGATGAGCCGGTTAAGGTAGTAGACAAATTTCTACCTGGGAAGCTGTATTGGTACCAGTTGTTTAGCCAAGGATGATATTTTCATCTGTAACGAGAAGGCCAAAACAGCTTTTGTGCACCTACATCACCTATGACGCGGATGGCGAGACGGCTCAGTGGTTAGAGCGCGAATTTACCGACCGGAAGGTCCTTGGTTCGAACCCGATCTCTGCTTCTCGACTTCCCCTGTGTAGGCTTGGCAGTATCCCAGCCCTCTTGCAACCTTCGGGTGGCATTGCAGCTAGGCACCGAAAGGGTGTTACAGGTCAACGATTATTGGAAGTGCCATGAGCTTGTCTGTCCAGAGTCGAGTTTACAATGGTGCGGTGCGCTCCATATTATNACATAAAAGCCGGTACCTGTTTGTAGTGTTGGCCTATGCCCCAAAGGGTTGCAGTTCTGACACTGAGATTTGGCCGCGCTCATTCGTCCAGCAAGTGACGCTGACGGGTGATATGAATGCTCAAGTTGGTCATCTGAGCTCCTTGGAATCACATCTGGGCGGTTGACTCGGATTCGAGGCTGACTGCACAGACAATGAAAGGTAACTCCTCCTGTTGTGTACTGATCATCAACTGTTTCAAGCCAGCACGAATTTTCAACAAATTTCCGCACCGCCTGACCTGTCAGTCAAATCAGCTGTGGATCTTATGGATCACGTGGCTATCAGTCACCGGTCGATAGACTGTTGTTCCTTATGGGTCACCGAACTTGATTCCGATCAGACCTTAGGCGCGTCTGACAATTCGCTTTCTTTCAGGCCCTCCTAAGTCAGCAAGAAGCATTCCAATTCGACGTCTTCGGAAAACTGCCATAGGTCAGTAGTAAACTGTACTGGTAACGAACACGTGGATGACAAATGGCAAAATGTGAGAAAAAAGTGATGTTAGCGGCGTCCAAAGCTGTTTGTCCGACGTCTCCGATACAATCGAATGACCATGGTTGTCGTCGAGATCGTCTGTCCTGATTGATGTCAGGAAATCCACACTAGCGGAGGTGCACACGAATCTCTCAAACGCCAAATGTTGAGTAGTCTAACGAAATAGACGGTGAGCGCCGTCGGACAGTGAAAGCTCCGGAAACAGCCGTGCCATATACCATTTAATTCGATCGATTGGTCAAAAGAAAGGAGTGGTGTGTGAAACGATAAGTGAAAAGTACGACTCATTAATTCACTCGCATAAAACGATGACTGGACGGATGGGCCGACCACTTTGAAGAACTGCAACACAGCTCCTGAAGACGGGCTAACGGAATTTTTAACCATAATCGCCCCTCAGAGGTACAAAATGGTGAGATTGCCCAAGTGGTTAGAGCGCGAGTTTACCTACCGGAAGGTCCTTGGTTCGAACTCGACCTCTGCCTCTCGACTTCCCCTGTATAGGTTGGCAGTACCCTGGCAGTATCCCAGCCCTCTTGCAACCTTCGGGTGGCATTGCAGCTAGGCACCGAAAGGGTGTTACGGGTGAACGATTATTGGATGTGCCATGAACTTATCTATCAAGGGTCGAGTTTACAATGCTGCGGTGCGCTCCATATTATTATGCAGGTCAAGAACCTGGCCGATGCTGAGGATGTCAAAAAACTTTCAATGCTCGACAATCAATTTCTTCGAAACATTGCCCAAGTCTGGGTTAATAATGTTGTTAGTACGTTGAATGGTTTCCGGAAGAGATAACTAGCCCGAAATCGATCACATTCTGATCACATTCTATGGGTTGCGCTGGCTTAGTCGCGTTCTCCGTATACCAGTTGACCGACTTCCTCAAAGAACCCTCTTCGCCTGACGACGCGAAGCCTGGAAACGAGCCAGGAGGTGGCGAAATATGAAGCTCAGTTGCGCCGCTTTTCATTGCCTGTCCTTGAATGGGGACCCCAAGACGGGGAACATCACTGACGAGAGAAACTGTGACACTCAACCACTGTGTAGCAAGTACGCAATTTTTACAGCCCAAGATGATGATGATTCCGCTAATTCCTACAAAACACCGCCTTGTGATTGCTGTCTTTACCGTCCACAGTAACCGTTGCAATGATGAAAATTGGTGAACAATGTTCTCATATTTATTAAAATCGAAGCTGCAGAGCACAAGTCAATGATGAAGTTACTGCTGCCGGTATTACTTGTTGAAGATACTCATGATTTTCTCTGCTTCGTGCAACCCTCTTGATTTCCGCCAACTGAAATCTTGTCAAGGCTAGGATCAGCATTGGGAATTCTTTGAGCGCAATTGTCCCGAACTCTTCACACAGTCCCATGACCTATGTCAACGTAGACGAGTGAATCCCTCAACTCTGGGATCCTGATGCTGGCCCTCAGGATCCATATCTCGACTTTATGACGATTCAGTACCCCAGCAAACAGCTTTGTCCTTCAAGGAGTGATTAGACAAGTAAGAGGGTATCACCGAAACCGGCGAAGTGCTCTGTAGCATTCTTTTCAAGGAAGACTGAAAGCCGGTTATTCATCGATCACACCAGTACATCCGTGACACTGTATTTGATTCTTCATGCCACAGACGATGTTCTGTCAACTGGTGTTAATCCGTGTGACCGCGTTCAGAATGTATCCAGTCAGTTAGCATGCTCGATCACACTACCTGTCCCAACTTCGTTGATTCCGATGTAGCATTCGTGGGGAGCTGTACACCGTGATTCAGCAGTCTAGTTCAACGGCTTGTATCAAGCGAGCATTAAAGGGTTACAGGCGTGAAGTTGTACTTGGAGAGGGGACGGTGTTTTTGGCATGCACCTTGTCAGGTTTCTACTTCACAGAAATGGACTTTGATCTGTCTATCTAATCGTGGATGACAGGGAATGCTAATATGGTCGTTTCAGGACAGAAACCTCCAGTTGTGGAGGGGGCCTATGTTCAAAGAATAACCTGATTGGTGTCCTAATATTGATAAACCCGAATCTTGCATCTTAGTCTTTGTTGTGAGGGAAGAGACCGCATCTCTTAATCACCTAGTGTGATCCCTCAAAAAGGATCAATTTCACAGCACGTCCCGGCTGAAGTGATCTAATCTATGGGGACGGTATGGCTTATATCTGCAGGAAATGTTTCACTTTGCCAAAGCACGTGATAGAGTATTTTCGATCTACTTCGGTCATAGACAATTCTAATTTTGACCTCATCAAAGTTTTCAATCACAAAGAATGCGGAGCGATGGTCAGCCATACTGAGTAGCATCCCGTAAGAGTGACTAATTGATAGGAATGGAAGACTATCGGGTAAAGGGCTGTACAGTACGACAAGACATCCAGGTTGACTTCCACAGGACTATGTTACTTCGGGTCTTGAATAATTGCATACCACAAAGTCGTTCAGCTGTAACACCCTTCCGAAGGAAGCACCAGTGCTGGGATACTGCTAGGTACTGCCCAAGCCCAGACAGAGGAAGTCGAGAGGCGGAGTTCGGGTTCGAACCACGGACCTTCCGGTCATTAAATTCGAGCTCTAACCACTTGAGCCATCTTGCTCCGCTCTGGGTAACCCCAGAGGATAGTTCTTCAGTGATGGGATAAAACAGAGGACGAATATCTCGGTCCGGCATTAAGACACCTACTTGATAAGGGTGGTCGGAAAACAAAAACGGATGGGACGAATGAAAGATTGGAAAACAGCTGATACAAGTGCGAGGAAAAATCATCCATAACACAACAAGGACAAAGATACCAAGTCCCTTTGTTAAGATTTACGTTGGATATTGTCGGTAAGAAACTTGATGACAAAGATGCGCGTCGCCTTTCTTTTCAAGATTAGAAGTTGAATAGAACGGGCCCTATAGCTGAAGTGAAAACCCACCTCTTCTGACACACTCGTACAGATGGATCAGTGACTTGACCAAGAGGACTTGCCAAAAAGGTTCAAACTCAAGATGGTATAGGAAGGAAGGAAGTGCGATCTGTACTAATGAGGATTGAGAGCTCTTAGAAAACACGAGTGGGGGGTTGGGAACGGTTTAATGCCACGGAGTGCGCAAAACCCCGGTCGAAAATTTTGAAGAGATCGACTCACTGATGTCGCTACACAGTCGTTTAGAAACTGGAGAACACTGATTACGGTAGAGCTTGTGTTCGTGATATTATCGGTGAGTGCGTTGATACCCTGTTGTTTCCGTCAGGGGAAACCCTCTCTCAGAAGCGACTCCTTTTGCTTGACTCCCTCAGGATGGGGATGAAAGGACGAAGCCTTTGGATACCTTTGCAAGGGTGCTGTGACCCATGCGTCACTAAAAACTGGTCGGTCTCCTCAGTATGCTGACAATTTTTCTATTTTCGCGCGTGACCCACACACTGACTTCTAGGAAAGGAGATTAATACGCCTCACAATATCCAGCTTCTACTTGAAATTCGCCAGACGTATTCAACAGAGGAGAAAGCGACGAAGGGGGGGGGCAGTACGAAGTACACTCGCATCTGGATCTGTTCTGTAGATTGTGTAGCAACTATTTAAAGTTGAATTCGTAATAACGGTATCCTGATTCACTACAATCTTCTATGAAAAAGGTGACTGTATAGCCAACGTGAACTGTAGCAGTTTCTTAGCGATTTTGTTGAAGTGCAGTCAGTAGTGCATTTGACAATATTCCGGAATCGGTCGGTCTGACTTGACCTGTTGTCTCGCTCTGTTTCGGATAGTATTGCATTAGTCGGATCAGCTGTGATCAGCTACAACTGCACGTGACACTAGACTTCGGTGGGTTCCGCCATACCAAACGCATGTGATGTAAGATAGATATCACACGGAAAGTCTGAGTGTGAAAAACCTTGTAACATCATCGGTATAAGGTTATTTATTGATGCTAGCCCCTCGCCGTTTGTTGCTTATCTCAACTTCATGTGATTTTGTCCACCATGCCGTGTGTATAATACACCTATTGTACGATGCGTGGCCTTGGCCTCGTCGTGTTCTATTGATCCCGTGACCAAATTAAGGACAAGACTAGTGTGTTGTATCCCTCGTTCATTCCAAGGTCAGCACGTCATTGTCCTTTTCGACTTACTTCGAGCTGGCAACAGGAGCATTGAGTGTAATTCCTGTAGTTCTAACATCAGAGAAAACATACATGTATGGGATTTTTCAGTCTGTAACACTTCCCACGTCGCATTCAACACAAGTTGCTGCGCCTTCGAGTCACCTCACACTCACATCGATCGTCCACATAGAAATTCCACGTCACAAATTTTTACTTGTGACCCATTTGTCATCCTCTCCCCCTTTGTTTCGTGTTGTCCAACAGGCAGAGCTATTAGTTAGCCAGAAAAGACCGAGATTTCGCTTTTTGTTTCTCTCGGACAATCGGAATCAGATATGGGTGTTTGGGGGGATTTGTACAACTTGCATTGACATCACTCTCGTCCGAACAGTCCTGTTTCTGTCCCGACATTTTGATGGTATGGTCGGCCCATACTAAGTCAGGGTAACACTGAACTGAAGTTGCGTTTTTATTGGAGCTGATCAGCAATGCGTGTCTTTGACCTCGTCGTGGTCTGAATCCCGGACATTGAACTTGCAATTTGAGCGTGTTACCGCCGCTCCACGTCCATGCACTAGATTCCCCTGAAGTATCACGTCCCGGCGGACGAACGTGTTCACTCACGCTTGAGCGATGTGTTGGCTTGTCCAACGCCCCAGCCGACGAGCTAGTTGTGTCCTGGTAGTGTTGACGGATTAGTTAGTCACGTCCCCGCGGACGAACGTGTTCACTCACACTTGAACGATGTGATTGACTTGTCCAACGCCCCAAGCGACGAGCTAGTAGTGTCCTGGTAGTGTTGACGGATTAGTTAGCTCTACAGACGCTTGAAACCTACTGGATAATTTTCAGTTGGATGTTGGCGGTTACCGGACCGTTTTTCCTATCTACACCCACTTAATTCTAGCGAACTTCATGCAACATTCACTACACTGTCCTACAACTAGACTGTCGAGTGAGATTCCTGTCCTATTGCCTCGTAGAACCACTTTGTTTCCTGTTCTGAGGGAGGAATTTTTTGACAAACCTTGAAGTGTGTTGTTTCCTTACAGCCTGTCCAATCATGGTCGCTATTGTCCCATTCATCCGGTCACTTTCCAACATGGATGATAGCGTTGCGGAGCTCAATCGATGGTTGGTCGATCAGGCTATTCATGTCCCAGATGGCTGGGTCGAAGCATGTGTCCAGTGGCTGGTGGAAGAACACGGAGGCCTCCATGCATGCAATCAGCTGACCATGTCCGATTGGTGTCAGCTGATCTACGAACAATGGTTGCATACAGATCTGCATCAGCTGGCCTGTGCTGTTCTACCTGAATCAGCTGAGCGTACTGTGACCACTTCAGACTATCGTAGTCGTACGTCCTCCTTGGCGATGAAGCTGGAGGGTGAACTCTGTCTTCAAGTAAGCGTCGCCTCGATGGTTGCTGTTCTCCTTTCCTAGTCATTCGTCCTACTCACAGGGTATTTTCATTTCTATTCCTCAGGTTGTTGGTTTATTCAACGTGGGAGATTCGTATTACGGCCAGCTAAGACACAACGAAGGCAATCTGAGTGCGAACATTCCACCTTTGGATAACCTAGACGCTGATTTGGGCGCGGATCCTGATCTGACTCAGATGACACAGGCCGTTAGTCAGTACAACACGTTGGGATGGAGTGAGTTTTTAGCCTAGACCCGTAGCGAATCCACACAAAGCGTGTCTTTTCGTCTAATTTTTCATGTATTCTGTAGACGACGCCCTAAAGGTGGAGGGGATAGTTACACGACCCCTTTGGAGCCAAATGCAGCCTATGCCAAATATGACGAAACATACTATGTTCGTACATGTGAGCCTTTGGGAACGAGATGTCCCAGTAGTTAGAGCGCGAATTTACTGACCGGAAGGTCCGTGGTTCGAACCCCAAGATCTGCCTCTTGACTTCCCCTATCTCTAGGCTTGGGCAACCTGGTACTATCCCAGCCCTCGTGATTCCTTCGGGCGGCATGGCAGTTAGGCACCGAAAGGGCGTTACAGCTGAACGATTTTTTGACATGCTACCTTCATTCACAGGTCTCTTCTGCTGGGCACACAACGTTGGGCAAAATGACGCTCTTTTCGGGGATGTGGCCTTCTGAGAGACCTAACCTTCGTTGCAGCTCTTTCCTATAAAATCCAGGCGGATACCAAATCGCATGACAGACTAGGCACACAGGCGTTGTTCCCTGGTTTGCTGGAAACTATGTTCACTCTTGGATGCGATCGTATGGCAAGACTGTTTCGTTCTCACGCATATACTCACAGCTCGAGAATTTTGTACTAATTATCTATAAGCAGACACTGGTACACGGATTATTTACGCGAACATATCACATCAAATCCGTTCCGTTAGTGCGATTTCATCAGAATCTCAATATGCACACGAATGCCCGCCATGAGCAAGCTCATAGCTCATCATTACCAGAGACAACAACATCTGTGTTGACACCGATACTTCACCACCGTACAACCGCAGTTTAAAGTAGAAGAACATAAAAGAGTGGATGAGACCACCATAAGCATTTTGAACTGCCTACACCTCCAAACAACCTAGAAAGGAACTGTCAGCACGAATGCCACTGACACCGTCATTTCTTGCAATGTCTCCTGTCAAGCGCAGGGGGTTCACGAAGGACCGCACCAAAAACACCTAAACTCTTCATACTCTCTTTCACACCCCTCTACCAAGTCACTCTTTTCCCACCTTGTAGTTTGCGCCATTCTGAAGGGGGTACAAAGAACAATATTAACCTCGGTAGACGATGTTTTGGCATGACTGAGTCACCACAGTCGACGGTGCTGGATGTTTGCCGTGACTGAAGTGCCTGCGCCATCCGACACCGTCTACAACGCTGAGGCATGTCTCAAAACCGCACAACAATACAGCCCTTACTGTAGCCCGGTACACACAGGACCCTGAAAACCCAGTGATGTGCCACAAGCGACACACATTCGCAGAGTGATTCGAATCTTTGAGATTCGTGCACTGACTTCTGCCATAGCTCATACAACTACCGAGGTATGATGCAAAAGTTCTCGACATTCTCCAGTGTTTCTCTTCAGAGACTGCACGTTGTGAGGCATGACGTAGCGCTTTGTAGGTGCAAAGCGCATGCCTAAAGATGATTCAGGTGTGCTTCTGGTTTATCTTCGTCCTCAGTCATCAAGACAATGCCATGTACATAGTCCAGATCGCAACGATTTGAGTACCGGGGATTTGAAACCCCCCCAGCTTTCGTTTCATTATTCGGTCGATGGCTAAGCGGAACAGAATTGAAGCGTGGACATCCCTGTCGCACCCTACTTTTGTAGAAAAGGTCTCAAGATCTCACCGTTCACTTTCATTCACCCAGAAATATGTGAATTCCAGAATTATGCTCACAAAACTATGGAACATCCCCTGTTGAACAAGTGTAGTTAAAATCGAATGCACCAAAGCTCGCATAACGCGCTATTCGTCACCGTTCGCTTCCAGAGAACCGAACTCCTTTGTGCCATATTCAACTGGCATTCAGACATCATGAGTCGTATCTGTCATCGGGTACGACGTAGCGTACCGCAGCCGGTCCAGTACGATTGTGAAAAACGACGTGACTGCCGCTTGTCATCTCACCTCACTCGATCCCCTATTGTGTATGCAACTGTGAGTCTAGCTGTCTGTGCACATAGCACGGCACCCTCAGCGATCCTTTATTGATTTGATTGATTGACCAGTCCATTTCAAAGCATAGTTTGGGCACTGGCTGTTCGGGTAAACCTGACCAACCTCCACTTGGTCACGTGTCCGTAGTCAGCAGAAGCCGTGACAGCTACCAGCAAATCTGTGTTCGCAAGGAAAAACAGTTGTCATCGCTTCTGTACCGGTGCGGCTGGTGTGACTAGATCTCATACCCCATTTTCCTTCTTTTTAGGCCTCTCGCCACGATTGACTCGTCCCCCACGTGACCTGTAGCTTTCCGTTGTTTGTCATGCATCCATGGTAGCTTCACGTACGCAGTATTGTTTTTATTTTCACGCCTTGTTTCGGTTCTATGGTTACCGACTTCTGTGTGGACAGATTTCTATGGCTCAGTGGTTAGAACGCGAATTTACTGACCGGAAGGTCCGTGGTTCGAACCCGAACTCTGCCTCCTGACTTCCCCTGTCTCTAGGCTTGGGCAACCTGGCACTATCCCAGCCCTCGTGCTTCCTTCGGGTGGCATGGCAGTTAGGCACCGAAAGGGTGCTACAGTCGAACAATTATTCATATTATTGTGTCTAACGTGATGGTAGCACCCAGTTGAGTTAACTGTCGCGGAACTAGTCCCACCGGAATAGGTTTTGTTCTGTCCACTTGTCTGTACGCGCTCCTCACTCAGATTCAACGTATTTCAATTACATATTGTGAAAACCCTCTTCGGTTTGTACCAAGTTGTGCTGGCTAAAAGAAAGTCATTCTCGTCTTGTCTTGGCGGGGAGTTCAGTTTTGAAGGCTGTCTTTGCCGTACAACACAAAAAGTAATCCGGAACGACAACCTCTGTCACATTGGAGACGGCAAGGAGTACTGCAGCTTCACTGGTGAGCCATGCGCCATCATTGGAAATGTCACTGACATTTACTACGTTCCCCATTGGGGTGGGACTGTTGCACGTTCCACTTATTGTTCAAACTTTAGTCATTTCTTTTCCTGGGAAGTTGAGGGGGGCGCTATGAAGTAGAAACTCGAAAAGTGGACGGTAGGTATACAAGGGTTGAAACACTCAGTTCTTAACTCTCGCATTGTTTTAAAATCAACTCTTTGAGCTGCACCCCACGATCACTCCTGAATAGTTGTTTTGTTTTTCATACGAGGACCATCTTAATCATACTTTATTACACAGAAAACAACCAAGGCTTTTGATCGTATCGAGCTTAGTTGGTGTGTATTGCCGTTTTCAAAGGTCCCTCAGCTACCATAAATCCAGTAATGGCTGTGACGTGCTGCATATTGCGGGGGCGTTGTCTGACCTTGATCAACACTGATTCTTGCTGTCTGGGTTTGATACAACGCTGTTGTGCGCTGCATGTTGAGGGGGTGTTGTCTGTCTGATCAACATCTAGCGGAGCTGAGAGTCTCGGTAAATTTCGGGCATTCAGTGGTTGCTTTCAGGAAGCTGACCTTCCTGATAGCTTTCGATCGCCTCGATCCTAGTTGGCGTGTATAGCTGTTTTCAAAGGTTCCCCAGCCGTCATAAATCCAGAAACGGTCTTTATTTGTGCTCGCTAGCGCTACGTCTGGTAAGGCTGAGGTTATCACCTTTCTACATCGATCAAGAAAGTAAATCTCAGTACTTTCAACCTTCCCGTCTCCGTCCCAGATTCTCAGTACAACTCCGGACAGCATGCGGCCAATTCTTCATGCAAGTCCTACGCCCTCTTCCTCACCGACGGTCTCACCCAAATCAAAGCGGTTGAGTTCGGTAGTCTTGTACGTACAGGTCGATTCGCTGGGCAACGTGTGCTGTCTGTGGATGAATTGAACCGCCGACTTCGTCCTGGTGTAAAAGTACGTCTTCGTGGTCCACTAACGCTGCGCAACAACGTGTTGCTACTTCCTGCAGGTGCAATCGATACACTGGGACACCCTCAGCTTCAAGTTCTCGGTGGAGAGGTAGGTCATCGTCTAGGGAGGCGCTACGCTTAAACATGGCTACATACTATGGAGTTCTACTTCGTGTTTCCGTTTGATTTAGGTGGACGAGGTACTCACCGGCCAAACCGGTAATCTGATGTACCAGCTGGGTGTCTTTCTGGCCCGTAAACTCAACATCTCCTTACCTGATGATGGCACCCTGCCAGCTGGCTTTCCGCGGGTCACCCAACTTGGTGGGAGGACTACTGCAGATTCTGCAGACACAACAACTGAACGGGAAATGACAGCACATGACGATCACGCCCCAGTTGTCCCTATGGTTCAATTAGTTGCGTCTTCAAGTGGAGGGCAAGCTCTTGAGCCGTGGGATAATGATGACGAGGCTCTATTGAAAAGTTTTGAGCAGCTTATGTCTTCTTCGTCTTCTCAGGTCTCTAAAAGTGATTTCAACCAACCAGGTAAGTACATCTATCTGTTTTCATAAAGGAAACTACTCACAAGGTTGTTGAAAACTCTTTGACAGCCCACGACCGGTTTCGCCCTTCTTGGGGCTCATCAGGTAGGCGCAGTCTCCGAGTTTCCGTCAATCTTATGTTCTACTTGAACCCAAATCGGACTGTTTTCGAGAAATACACTCATTTGCAAATCGATTTGGTTTTCACGAGAATCGACTGACCTGAACCGGAGTCGAAGCAATGACCTTCATTGATTCGCGACGAACCCGGTGCAGCTTGCCTTGACCGATCCGCTTAAAGACGACCGTTGAATACCACTTTCACGTGTAACCCAAAACTTAATGCCTCATACTCGCAAAACAGAAGAAAGCGGACGATAGCTTGGTAGACCTGGCATGACTCTGGCCCCTGAGCACTACCCAGTGGTTGGGTTTTGTAAGGTTGAAATTCGAACATTTCCATGTAGTACTCCTCTCTTGGGGAGGGGGCAACATCTTTGAAAATCACCCCCAAAGCGCTGCCTTCCACCTTGGGAGTTTGCTTTCAGGAATGAATCTGCGTCTCTCAGCATATAAGTAACAAGCGTCTGTTCTATGATGTTCAAACTCCGCGAACGGATTATAACTGTGCCCTCTAAGAACGAATAGAGGACGATTTCTGGAAGCCTACTTTTCCTTACTTTTTCTAATTGCTGTGGTCATCCAGTGAATCTCTAATTAGGCTCTGTGTATTCAACTTCGACTGCTTGAATGATACCAGAGTCCGGCTCACTTCTCATCTTGTCTGGAATAACGGGGATCTGACTATGATACAACGTGCTCATGAGGGGTTCTTTAGTGAGGACCAGGTTTCTTACAAAGTACCGCTTAGCCCAAAAAAAGTAGTCGTTCAGCTGTAACACCATTTCGGTGCCTAGCTGCCATGCCGGCGGAAGGAAGCACGAGGGCTGGAGTATTTCCAGGCTACCCAAGTCCAGACAGCGGAAGGCGAGAGGCAGAGGTCGGATTCGAACCACGGACTTTCCGGTCAGTGAATTCGTGTTCTAACGGTTGAGCCGTCTCGCCCCACTTGACCGAATGACTACCCCACGACACGACGAATTTTGCCCCGCTATTGTGGTCTTTAGATGTTTCGAGAAGAATATGGACACCTGATCGGTACTCAGTGTTGTGACTTGCTGGACGATCNTTACGGAGACAGGAAAATTATTGCAACTGTATTTATAGGGTAATCACAGGGTGTTCCACAAGATCGCGCTGGAATCTCCGTGAGGGGGCGAGAAGCCTCGAGTCTGGAAGCCCGATCCGGATTGGCTGGCATTCTGACCAATCAGGGCGTGCCTTCGTCTGGTCCGTGTCCTGCATGTGACACATCCGTCCAAATGTGATGTTCGGTTATTAGAGACGGCTGGTATCCGGACACTCAGTGCTACCGCATTACTATACGAGCCATAAGATAGTCACCAGCGACCATAGAACCCTGCTGCTCTGTGGGTCACGCTTCGATTCGTGAGGGCTACAGATGCCGAATCAACTTAATAGAGTGAATAGATAAGGTCAATCAAAGATCTAACAACCTTTCCGCAATTAATATTCGACGAATGTCATGCGGATATGCGGCAGAATTAGACCTGGACCGGTCCCTTTCGTTAAAAAAAATTGGCGCTCTAACCACTTGGTCCATCTCGCTCCCTCCCTTTCGTTACGGTCACAGAAATGAGCTTTCATGCGATTGCTTTCTTTCACAAACTGTCGATATGAAGCACATTTGCAGAGTTACACCAAGTCGTACTTACCACCCGCCCAACTAATGGAGGCTAGCTTTCTACTCAGACGGTCACATGACAGTAGACTTATAAACTCCGATCACGTCATCTTTTCGCCGCTCACATGTAGTTCTGGCAACATTTACAGCAGTAGAACGGATAGGACTCCTTCACACAAAAAACGGCTGAACGCCCGTCCAGTCATGTAGTGTTGTACTCCAATATGTCAATCAAAGCCTCATAACCTGTCTTGATCATCAAAGCCCCATAACCTGTCTTGATCGATGGCCGAACATCTTGACGAGTGGAATGTTCTCCTCTTGTTACGCGATCCAAACAACCTAAAGAGGCCCTCCATTTGCCTCCCAATTTACCTGTTGGTCTCTAAAATCGATATAAACTGGGGAGATGAAAGCCCATCAAATCTTGTATGACCATTGAAACATCATTCTTAAACTAGTGGTTGTCACTCGCCAGTCAACTTCCATTTGAAATTTCCGGTCAGTTCCAAGGTCATATTGCCAGCAGTGTGCAACATCAGCTTTGTTCAACTACATCCCAAGTACACGAGTAGAAAAAGAGACAGGCCTGCAAGGTAGGTCGACTTCGTCGACGAACCAGAGAAGAAATGCTGAGAAGTACAGCAGGATGGGAGTATTCACAACACTTATCGATTGGTTGTGATGGTACTCTGAGTTCGAATTTCTCCAGCTAGTAAAACCAGATCTTATACACTCAGGAAGGAGCGAGATGGCTCAGGGGTTAGAGCGCGAATTCGCTGACCGGAAGGTCCGTGGTTCGGACCCTTTCGATTTCCCCTGTCGGCTTGGGGAACCTGGCAGTATCCCGGCCCTCGTGCTTCCT